TCGCACAGCACAGCTACACATGTCCAAGTGATCCCAGATGACCTGACCCCAGAAACCTCAGAAATCCTCTCCGGAATGGAAAGTTGCAGTCTGTATATTAATCTACGGGTTCTTTGGCAGCTACGTACACGCTAACACTCATATGTATTGCATAATTCTCTAACCATCCCCAGATGTCGGGATCCTAAGGACACTGATCTCTCTGAGTGCTCTGAGTGAGTGGACCCCCCACACTGCCCTCTGATGCCCCAACCTTGCCTATAGGGAAACTCCATAGTTGCCTTGAAGTCCTGCAACTCACATTTTGATCACCAGATGGCGCGCCTGGCTCTATTTTCTAAAGGCTGGTTTTCACTGAATAAATTAATATTTTTAATGAAAGAAAAAATACTTCTCAAAATAGGTAACAAAATAATAAGTACCAATATGCCATGATTCTCTTTGTGTATTGTGAATTCTACAAGATTGAGTGAAGGTACACACGCACTCAAACACACACACACACACAAACAAACACACACACACATACATTTTCTTCAGCCATGTCATCAATTTATTTCTGTGAATTAGTAGTTTATGGTGTGCCAGGCATCATCATTCTAACCCCACATCTACATGTCTCACACAATTCCTTTTTCCCTCTTGATCTGCTCAAGTGGATTACCATGGAGACCATTCAAAGAGACTGCCTAAACTGCCTGGTCCACAAAGAAAAACAAATGCTGCCTTGGAAACCAAGGAAAATTTGGCCCATCCTTCCCATAGTGCTCGCTATCAGGCCCCAACTCTTCTCCTGGCTATATCTCCCTTACAGAGGGGAGGGAGGATAAACCTTGTGTGGTGTCTGTCTTGGAAGTTATCCTGGGTGCGGAGTAGATTTTTTTCTGATTCTTCTTCCATTTGATAGTGCAGTTAACATGTCTCCATACTTAACCAAGTATGGATGATCTATTAGAAAGCAATTTGTTTAAGGGGGACACTGAGGTGACACTAAGCACTTGACTTCCCTTTCCCACACTGTGGAACTAGAACCAGAGCCACAGGACAAAGAGGAAGGAGAAGCACATCTTCAAAGACAAAGACAGGCAGAGGGTCCAGTCTGAGCATGTAACTCCCCTGATTTTAGGAAATGCTCACCACAGGTTTCTCACATAGCAGTCACCTCCTCTCAGCTCTCTCCGTGGGTAGTCTGATAGCAAAAAGACACTCTTCTCCATTGTTGGAGAGAATGCAACTGTTCTCCAAGCCTATGGATGGATCTTATGCTAGTGAAAACCACAAGCGTGCATTCTGGGACCAGGGGTCTTTCTTCTAAGGATTCATCCCAAAGAACACGGAATGAGACACAAAAACTCTGACAGAGCAACAATGTAGAACTCCAAGAGCAGAACTATAAAAATCATCTGTGGGAAGGATAGAGTGACAGCATGATCTCAGGTGTATCTATGACCCAAATGATGAGGTACGCATGTGCTTAGCCAGGTATGATGGTATGCATCTGTGATGCCAACAGGCTGATGGTAAAGACAAGAGAATAGTCATTTTGAGGCTATCCTGACCTACATAGTGAGCTCAAGTTTTACCTGACATATACTGAGATTCTATCTCAAAACAAACAAAATAATTTTTAAGAAGGCAACATGAAGTCCATGTTTATAATTATAGAGTGATCTCCAGGACATATTGTGATTACACAACACAAGGTGAAGAAATGAGGCCAGGGTTATCTGCCTAATGTTTTCCTCAGTTACATGTGGCACATGGAGGTTAATAAATTATATAACCCTATTTAAAATAAATAAAGTCAGCTTTAACAAACAAAATTTAACCGTACTTATAAATGTCACCCTCAGCACTGCTCAGATTTCCAGTGGCCAACAGCCACAGACAGCTAGTGCTTCCTGGGCTGGGCAGTGCAGACCCAGAGCATTTTCATCAATTCAGAAAGGTGCATTGGGAACAGAGAGTGCACACCTTTATTGTGAGTGGGAGAATTGATAAAATATGTATGCTTGTGCTTTGAAACACTGGCTAGTTAAGCGCCCCCCCAAGAAAAGAAAATGATCTCCTATAGAGTGCCCTGGAAGAAACCAGGACAGAGGCTGACATTTATGCTCTCGAAGATGCTGAAGTACTCATTCCATGCCCTGATTCCAATCAACTACTTATCACCAACAACTCCATTGCTCAGATTGAGTACACTAAAAACACTGCCCCCTCAAAGAAGCCTGGGGGAAATGGCTGATTCCAGATTTGGGGCCAGGAATGCAACAGAAAAGTGCACAGTGACCTATCGCATCAGGATGAATTTGGAAAAGACTAAGAAGTCCGTGTTAAAATGGAGATCTTCACTTGAGTGCAGCAAGTCAGACTTATCAGGGAGATGTGGAATATTTTCTCTTACAGACTGAATTAAAGACCAGACGTGATAGTAGTAGCCAAACCTACTATTTTATAATATATATGAATTTAATTGGAGTTACCTGACAAAAGGGATGCCATGGATTATTAAAAAGGCCAGTGCCAAGTGTGGAATACCCCCTCCATCGGTTGGTCAGGGCTCTTCCAGTGATCCCCCAAGACAATACAGGTCATTGTCATTGCTCTTGATTCCTATTGCTTAAGACATCACACACTTTGGCCACAGGGTATGGAAAAATTAAGTTGACACTGACCAGAAACCTTCCTTCCTATTACCTAGTTTTCCTATTACCAGAAGATACTACCAGGCTATTGAGGGGAGGAAAGTTGTCAATGTTCTTATTCCTCTGTGAACTACAATAATGGCCAACATGGCAAGATATACCCATGGGTCAACAGTGGTATGAATATCACAGAGGTAAACAAGTAACTTTATGTTTCAATTTAAGGCCCACTCCACAGGAGGAAACACTTGCCTAGTACTATAAATCTGATCATGATCCCATGGTTGGCGAGTTCAGAGGTCCCAGAGGTGAAACTACTACCACTCACACCACCACTACCACCAACACCATCACCATCACCACCATCACCACCATCACCACCATCACCACCATCACCACCACCACTAACACCACCACCACCACCATCACCACCACCATCACCACCACCACCACCACCACCACCATCACCACCACCATCACCACCACCACCATTACCACCATCACCACTAACACCACTACCACCACTCACACCACCACCACCACTAACACCATCACCACCATTACCACCACCACCACCACCACCACAACCATCACCACCGTCACCACCAACTAACACCACCACCACCACTAACATCACCACCATCACCATCACCACCACCAAAATCACCACCACCACCACTAACACCACCATCACCACCACTAACACTACCATTACCACCACCACCACCACCACCACCATCACCACCACCACCACTAACACCACTACCACCACTCACACCACCACCACCACTAACACCACCATCACCACCACCACCATCACCACCACCACCACCATCACCACCATCACCACCATCACCACCACCACCACCACCATTACCACCACCACCATCACCACCATCACCACCACCACCAATACCACCACCACTATCACTACTACTACCTTTACCACTAGTGCCATTACTACTACTCCTCTGGTAGGTGAACATTGTATGACACTTCCAGGTGTCACTAAGGTGAGCAAGTTTTGCTGGAGAGATGAGAGAAGCTTCTTCATCAACTGATGTGTGTCATTAAATCACCAAGTTTCACGATAAGGGTCATTGGGTTTCCAAACCATCCAGGGAATGTCTCAAAAACACAAGAAACAACTGATATCAGAAAACAGCACCACTATGTGGACATGGAGCCAGAAAAGCCCAGGAATTTTTGCCCCGCCTCTTCCCCATAAGCCCCATGCACAGTCACTGCCCTGCCAACAGCAGCCATGGCCAAAGGTTGCACTCTCTACACACTGCAGCTGCATGGCTCCCGTTGACCATAATGGCTGTTCCAACCCACTCTCGCAACAGTTTCTACTCAGTTCATTCTACACACAATAGCATAACAACAACAAGAGTGAAATTGTGACTCTCTCCAAATCTTCCTTTCATAGTCATAATACAACTGAAAGACTATGAGAGTCATCTACCCTTTCCACCTCACACCGACATGACTACACTGTCCGCCAGCCTCTAGGCTTGTCCTCTGCTCGTAGACCAAATGAGGTCCATGTGGACAAGCCGACCAACAAGGCTTGTATATCCCTTCTTCTTCTTGTCAATCAGGACTCGAGTCAAATGCTACCTGATGAAACCGACCTTTGGGGGAAACCCCACCTACAACAATCCCCATCACAGCCATTTTATGTCCACCTTGAGTTCTTTAAAGCACAAATAACATATGGAGTTGCTCCAGTTACTGCTTTCCTCTACTTACTGACAATTTAGCCTTCTAACTCTGCTAGTCTTCTCAGTGCAGGAACCCGGTGCTCACAAAAGAGGCCACTATGTGAATATCTGGATAAACATACATGAAGGAATTGATTTATCTATTTGATATGCCATGTAACACACTGGTATTTATGGGAGTAACAAGAGGACATTGTATGGAATTAAGCAGTCTGTCACTCCATATCCTGGAAGACAGAATGTAAAACCCACTAGCAATACTTTTTAACATGGACAGCCATCAGAAAGAAGTGGCTATGCCACACCCCACTTCACAGGTATTGATTCAGTGTCTGTTGTGGACCCAGATATCTACCATATTAATAAGCATGATTTAGTGTCTGTCGTGGACCCAGATATCTACCATTTTAATAAGCACTCCCTGCAAATGTGATGCAGTAATGCATGGCCCTTTCGGGGAAATGGTCTGATGGGGATGGCGTCCATTTCAGTCCTGGTCATTTAAAGGAACCCATGCAGACTTCTGTCATCTGGGGAGTCTATGAATGCCATTGTTCCACAGTGTGCTGCTCTTGCTGCTACCTGCTCAACAGGATGTGTTCCTACAAGGCATCACAGATCCCCTGGTGGTCACACGGATGGGAAGAGAAAAGGAAATGACTGACCTGGTGAGTCTCACATGATCTTGTCACTCTTGCTCAGGTAACAGGCTGGCAAGACCACACCACACTTGGTTCTTTTCCAGGAGCTGGTTCTTCATGGAGAGTACACAGTTTTCCCCCTGTTCTACTAGAAGGCAGAGTAAGGGGAGAGAAAGCTCATGGAGAGGGGAGGAAGGCAGATGAGAATGCTCATGCACTCTACTGTAGTGAATATAGGGATGGAGTAGTCTGTCTGCATCCAGTCAAGTCAAAGATGTGCAGTGACATCTTCCTCTTCTTTGTTCATCTCACAGACCCTTCCTATACAGACACACACACACACACACACACACACACACACACACTCACACACTGGTGGCACTGATGACTCACATACTGGAAACAAGGGCTCATGTCAGCTTCTTGTCAACCTTCTGTGTGTACTCTCTACAGTCTTGTTGTTCTTCTCATACAAGAGACCTGACATTGACAACCTTGAAAAGCAACAAACTTGGAGGATGAATATCTGACTCCCAGACTCCTTATTTACCTAGAGAAATGAAGACAGTGTGCCTGATTGGAAATGACAATAAGACAGAAAAGAATATGAAGGGGACAGAAGAGTCACACATGTGTAGGGGACACCTTTAGCAAAGACACAAAGACACTTTAGTGAAGCAGGCATATGCTGGTCACCGAGTTTTTCTGGGACTGTTGGTGGTTATAGGAGGTACAGCCCAGCATCGTGATCAGCTGCCTAAGGATAACCCTGTCCCTTTGATGACCTTGACCTTGGTAAAGCTGGATCTATGATTAGGATGCAGAAAAGAATTTCAGGAAAAGCCAGAATGAAGCAAAGCTTGTGAGCTTATTAATGCTATGGAAGAAGCTCACATAGTATAGGGATGGCTCAGGAATGAAGGCCTGAGTGAGGACTAGAGAGACTTGAGATTAGGGTGTGTGAGGAGGGCAGGAGAGTGAGAAATGTGAAGATTTTTATGGTTCTCAGAGTTACATTGTTACATTATTACATTGTTTTAAAATTTCATGCTTTGAGTCTTTGAACTGGTTCTGTTTTTCCACTTGAAGAAAATATACAATAGGTTATTAAAAGTAAAAAATAAAAATGCTTTTAAATGTTCTTATCCCTTTTTAAAAAATTTTAGTAAATTAAATTGTAAGGTGAATATGTGATTCTGCCAACATTCTGGTCCTAAGTAAGCATAATTAATTAATTTTTTAATGTTTTTCACAAGGAAGTCTGTGCACCATCTGAGTGAATACCTATTGCTCACAGAGGACACCAGAGTTTGAGATCTCTCAGAACTGGAGTACAGACAGTTGTGAATCATCAGGTAGGTGCTGGGTATCAACCCTGGATCCTCTGGAAGACATCCAGTGATATTAAAGAATGACCCCTATCTTCGGACCCTAGTTTATTTGTTGTTATTTTTAAACTTTCTTTGAGATGTCTTTAGTACTACTTACATTATATCTGTGGGTAATTTTGACTCTATCATTTGGGTGGAGGCTTCTTGAATGTCAGTTAGAAAAATGTAAAAATGATCACAGTGCCGGGCAGTGTTGGCTCACTCCTTTAATCCCAACACTTGGCAGGCAGAGGCTGGCGGATCTCTGTGAGTTCGAGGCCAGCCTGGTCTACAAGAGCTAGTTCCAGAACAGGAACTAAAAAGCTATGAAGAAACCCTGTCTCGAAAATCAAAAAAAAAAAAAATGATCACAGGGTGAGGGGCTGTGTATTCCCCTCTCATATCCCCTTCAATGCCCTGTTTTTCTGTCTTATTATGGGACAAGTGGACATCCTCATGGACAAATATAAATATAGACAAGTTGTTTATCACTGGATACAAAAGTCAACCAAAATTAACAAATGATCTACATAGGACTAGAGAGACATCTCCGAGGTTAAGAGTGCCTTTGGCTATTGCAGAGGACCTGACTTCAGCTTACAGTCCCCATATGGTGGCCCACAGATACCTATAACTCCAGATCCAGGGGAACTGACAGTCTTTTCTGGTCTCAGCAAGCATCTGCATTCAAATGTGCATACGGCACACACAAACATATAGGCAGATACCCAGTAAATAGTGAAAGCAAATCTAAAAGGTAATTAATCCAAAATACAACCTAAGCATGAATCTTGTAACAGAAAGCAATTGATAGAATTATAGACAAAATTCATAGATATAACAAACCCCTTTTATGAAAAGAACTGGACTGTTAGGACTTCCATAAAGTGAAAAATGTAAACTGTGATATAAAAGATATTTTCCCTGCCTGGGAAAAAAATGAATGTAGGAAATTGTGTATTAGATCACAGCCTTATTGTTTCCAGAATACAGAAAGCCTAAAAAAGAGTCACTAAGAAAATACACAATTCCTGAAATAAAAGTTGTCCAGAAGGGTGAGTAGATGCTCCACTAAGAGAAACATACAGCATCAACATCCTTAACACTTAGGGAAGAGAGACAGGTGACTCTAGGGGACTCTTGACACCCCCACAAAATATTCAGAAATAATAATATGAAGACCTGGCAAGGTTGTGGGGGATGAAACTATCATACTGACTGCTGGTAGCTATGGGAAATAGGACAATAACTTGGAAAAATATTTCTCAGTTTCTTGATATGTTAATTGTCATTTGACCAAAGCTGTAACAACTTTCCTGATGGAGCAGAGCTGTTACTTTGAGGAAAGCTTTCCCTGAAGCAGATCTGTAAGCTGCTAAGCTTATACTGACTTTGTGGTATTCCTTGCATCTGGACGGCCAGGATCCCTTTACATTTGAGCTGAAATGTTTACACTACACATATATGTTTTTAATTGTACTCATTGTCTGGCAGAAAGACATCTCCACTCTGCCTTATGGCATCCAGGTCCAGAAGGTAATAGCCAATCACAGTCCAGCCAGAGTCCTCAAAGCCTGGTCTGGCTGGTAGACAACCAGAGGCCTGCCCAGAGCTACAAGGCTTCCATTACAATGAGCAAAATGTGTGGTGGACAAACAGGAGAGAAAGAGTAGGGGGATGGTTCATTTGCTGTGAAAAGAGGGGGAATAGAAGGTGGTAAGGAACAGGCTGAGGGGGTGGTCTTCTTGTCATTCATGGTCATGGTGTCAACAGGACCGAGGTTGCTACCAAAGGTCATTTCTGGGTCTCTGGTATTATTGCAGCTTGGGTCTATGTTAACATCCATGGTCCATGCTGCCACCAAAGGGCACACAGGAGCCTGGAGTCTGGGCTGTGTCCTCTTGCCTTGTTGGGATCTGAGCGCTGTGTTGCCATTGGAGTGACAATGATCTGAGAGACCCGAGCTGCCAACCTGGTGTTGTGCATGCCTGAGCTGCTGACCAGGGCCATATCTGTGACCCAGCAGTAGCCAGGGTCTTTGTCTTCCTGACTCTTGTTACCATTGAAGGCCATGCGGATGCCTGAAGTGTGGGCCACCACCTGAGGCCACGTTGGTGTCCAAAGGCTTTGCTGCAGCTGGTGCCATCCTGATCTGTGTGGTCTGTGAAACCACCCGGGAAATGGTGACATCAAGGACGAGTTGCTGCCAGGATCATGTTGGGTCTATGGTCCTACCAGAGCTAGGGTATGTGCTGATGTTTGTGGCCCATGTTACTACAGGGGGCCTTAAGAGCCATAAATGATGATATCCAAGGGCCAGAGTGAGCTGGTTCTGCCCTTTGGTGGACATTGTGTCAAGAGCTGGCCCTGACTTTCACAGGAGAGCTAGTCCCACACCTCACCATGGGCATTGGAAAACTGGGCCTGGTGCCATGGGCATAGGTGAGCTGGCTTCGGCCCTATCCTTAGGCAGGCAGCTGATCAGCTCAGCTACCACCCAGGCCCATATTGGGGTTCTTGGCTTGGCCCATCCTAACATCTACACCATCTAAGGCCTACTGGATTGCTGGAAATGACTGGTCCTGGGGAACAATGCCTGCAGAATCTCTGTTACTTGGGGTGACTGCAGGATATCCTAGAGGAGTTTTGTTGAGGGTCCCATGATGATAGTGTACCAGAAACTAGAGGCCATGAACAAGTTCAATGACTCATTGCAATGAAAGTTTACAAGTAAATATGATGAACAAAAAGGTATACTGTGTGACTCACCTTATATGTAGATCGTATTAAAGTGTAATAGAAGCCCGAGTACTGCTTCTGATGACTTCAGTTGGATCCCCAGGACCCACATTGTGGAAGCAGAGAAATGACTCCTGCAAGTTGTCCTCTGTCCTCTACAAGTACACTGTAGATCATGTATGGCCTTGCCAGACACACAAAATAGGCAGACAAATAAATGTAAAAAATGTAAATGGACATAACTTACCAAACACAAACAAAAGCCAAAAATAACCGATGTTCTTATTGCTGACTGAAATAGACTCTAAAATGATTGCTTTTTTCAAGACATATATCTGAAACAAAGGCATTAAAATCTTATCTTGAACACATAAAAAGAAGTAAACACATACCATCCAGGAACGAATTATTAGAAATCTAGAGTTATAATCTTAACGTTTAAGAAAGAACTAAAACTAAAGTGGAATAAAACAATTTGAAAACATGCAGTAATGTTATGTGTAAAATTCATTAGGAGAATGCTAATCTTTCATACTTATATTTCAGTCACAAAGCAAAATATGGATTGAAGGAAAATTACAAGAAAGTATAAAAGCCGATTAATAATTGCAGATGAATGCAAAGTAGTTTTCTCAATGTGACCACAATCATAGGAAAATAATTTATTAAATGAGAGGCCCTGCATAACCTAACCTCAAAGGCATATGCCCTGGGAAGACATATGGAACTCTTAAGTCTGATATAATCTTTTTTTGTTGAAAGCATGGATTATTCCGTGATGGGAACTTCATTTGATGTGTAATGCAGTTTCTCCCCCTTTCCTTATCAGCATTTGCAGGTTATTATTGACAGTCAGAAACAAATGAGAGAAACATCCCAGAGACAAGTCCATGGCCATCGTCACAGATATCACACGCAAAAGACATACATAATTTAGTAGCTCTCACTATCCTGTGTGTGGTCAGAGATGAATCTGTTTTAACGTGATTGTACCCCTTGAGCTCTCAGTAAACACCAGGGAGCTAGGAGAGTGAGAATGAGAGGTGTCGTGTGTGTGTGTGTGTGTATGTGTGTGTGTGTGTGTGTGTGTGTGTGTGTACAGGAATTCCTTGGCAGAGGCTGGTCTGCAAAGACTGGTTGATTGACTCTTAGACCTGCAGTGATATGGAGATGGTGGAAGTCGCAGTCCCAGGGCCTAATTACAATTTCCTTTGTGTTCTCTTGAGCCCATGAGTAGCCACTCCTTGGGCCCCCTGTGTTGGACTTACCTAACACCTTGTCACTAACAGATGACGTTGGACCTGACATTTAAAATATCAGAATATGTCTCCTTAACAAAGCTCTAAGCTTCTGCGAGTCAAAGTACTGCGTGTCATCACATAGCAGCTAGAAGCTGAGGTTTCTCTGCTTTACCATAATAGTCTACTTAATATTATCTCCAATGCACTGAAGGAGAGTCTATAGTTTCTTCATTCTGTTATTATAAAAACTTCATGAAACTGTTTCCACATTGTAACATGCAATTTGTACTAACATAAACCTGTCTCACTCATGTTTACTCACAGATATTTGACTCCAGAATGAACTCTCCTCTTCCTTCGAGGTGAGAGCTGTGTGTTTACATTGACATTTGTTAGTGTGTGTTGTGTATATACTCATGCTTGTGCAAATATCTCCCTGGATATATGTGTGAAAGTTAGTTAATCACTTACTGCTGTGATAGGCTATGTGTTATAATTCTCCTGGTCCTCTTCAATGATGACCTGGTGTGTAGTATACTGCTTACTTATCTCCATAGTTCTTTACTCATGTGCTGACCGATATCAGTATGGCTCAACACCCATTTTCCCAAACTGTTTTCCTCTATTGCTGTTCTCTATTTCCATGCTCCATTTGTCCCAGTATGGCTAGAGGAATCCTTTTAAGATGGCATCTGTGTTCATCTGGTGCCTCTGGAGAGGAGATGGAAAGTCTAGGAAATCCATCCATTCCAGTGTCAGGGGATTCAAGGTGACCATCACATTCATATTCTCTACAGAGCACCACTCTGTATCCCGTGTGCACTGCCCACTTTACACTCAGGGAGGATGAAGTGAGTTGTGGAGCACTACAGTTGCTGCAATCCATAAATGGAACTGCTCTATATGTGTGCCAGCTTTCCAAATACACTAAAAACGCATTGCTATTCCATAAAACTTCAGCCCTTTTAAAGAAAATAAATGTAGGCATGTAGTTTGAATGCCACCTCCTGGCCATAATGGGAACTACATCAGTGAGATTCTTGGGCCCAGTGGCCTCTATGTTTGGGTGGGAGGGAACATTGCCTGTGACCTGGACTTGAAGGGACCTTAGATAAGATAAGGCAGTGTTTTTTCACTTCAGTATATTTTCCTGGTACATAAACCTTAACATCTTAGGTATATCAAATGTAAACCAGAGATTGGAGACCAATCCCAGTCTAAGGCTAACATAAAGCAGCCTCATTAGATAGAGATGGTGGAGCTCTGTGTGCAAACACACACACACATATGCACACAGGCATGCACAGAGCATGAGAATAGATTCCATTTGTCCTTCTACTTCATTGCCCAGAAACGGAACACAATGATTACTTCTAAAGTACAGAAGGTATAAACATCGTTTATCCAGTGTGTGGTTGTGTGCCCGTGTGCATGTGTGTGCTTCTGCAATTGTATGCATACATGCATGTGGTCAGGGGACAGAAGACAGCCTCCGGTGTTGTACCTCAGGTGCCATCCCCCTGAAGTTTTTCTTAGACAAGGTTTCTCACTGGCCTGGAACACGCAAGGCAGGCTGGGTTGGCTGGGCAGCACACTCCAGGGATAGGCTTGCCTCCACCTTCACACACAAGCAAGTCCCACCACACCTACTACTTTTCCTGCTGTAGTTTAACTTCATTTTCTTGATGATGCTCTCTGTGAATGACACTCAGGGCCTCATGCCCACAAGGCCAGCAATTTATTGATTTAGCTGTCTCCCCAGCCCCACTTTTACCACTCGAGCACAAGCATTTTTCTCAGTTTACACTTTAAAGTACTTTCCTTCCTGGATACGAAATTTCAAACACCACAGGAAAGCACATGTACTACCATAAGGAAATCTGTGTCTGTCGCCGGGCTTATTCCTACCCCTAAGGCACAGGGCTGTCTGCAGGGAAATCTCCAGAGAGTGAGCTATCTGAGTAGAGTGCCAGCCGCCATTTTCTGTGCGCCTTGCTGTATGTGGTGGTGAGGAAGTCACTTCCCCATTTAGGGGATAGTAATCTTTAATGTGTCTGCCACGGACACACAGGGCTCTGCCTAACATCCAGTGAAAAGAGGATGGTTTCCCATGACAGAACTAAGCTGAAACTTTCCCACAGTGAATGGAATGATAATAGTCCTGCTAATTATTTTGTGTGTTTAGTGCAGAGTCTCAGAGCAGCCCAGCCCAGCCTGGGACTCTTCCCCTTCCTCCTTCAGCCTTCAGAGTGCTGCTGGTCCTCCCAGCTTACCACACTGCCCCAGCTCAAGTATTCATTTTAATGTAAACACATTCTTAATGCTACTGTTTTCTTCTCGGCCCAGTAACATTTTCATTCCATTTCTACATGTATATTGTTGAATTCCCACGAAATAAGTAATTTTATCATTGATTTCCCTGCAAAAATTTATTTTATAATGATCCACATCTCTTGAAAAACCATGTACTCTAAGATTGTTTTCCTAAGAAATTTCACATTTTCTGAGATATTTCTGGTTTTTGTTTGGTTTTCATTGTTAGTTAGGGCCTCTCTATGCTATTCAGGCTGTTCTGAAACTTTTTAGCACTAATGATCGATCGTGTAACCCCAGTGTTCAAATAGCTGGAAGTGCACGCATTTGCCACCTAACGCTGATGAAAACTGTTCTCATTACTGCCTTGCATTTGACCATTTTTCTTCATTGTTTCACAACAATTATTTTAATTTGTACATAATTTTAAAATGTACATAACTTAATAATAATTACGTTGTGTATATTCCTATGTGTATGTACACATGAATTCCTGTGCTTCCAATGTTCAGGAGAGGTCATACCTTCCTGGAGCTGAGGTATGGTCCTTCAAGGATG